TCGAACGCGTTGACAATTTGTGACCGTGTTCAACTGTGGTGTTTGCGTCATATTTCATTATTTATTGTTAAATCAACAGGGATGCTCGTATCCAGCCTCCCATCCGGCAAGAACTGAGATCAGTTATTTATCTTGCATTTATGCATACAAATTTTAGGATTGCTTGGTGTGACTTGATTCCTTAAAGTGATGAATTGTCCGGACGCTCTGTATTTGCCTCAATACTTGAGGACACAAAATATTATGTTGGTCGTGCTCAAAATGCTACAGAAAGAGAGAGAGAGAGAGAGAGAGAGAGAGAGAGAGAGAGAGAGAGAGAGAGAGAGAGAGAGAGAGAGGGAGGGAGGGAGGGAGGGAGGGAGGGAGGGAAGGAGAGAGAGACAGAGAGAGAGAGAGAGAGAGAGAGAGAGAGAGAGAGAGAGAGAGGGAGAGAGAGAGAGAGAGGGGGAGAGGGAGGGAGGGAGAGCAATCCGTAAGGAAAATCTTGGGACATGGGTTCTAGCAGGCAACGTTGAAACACTGGCTGCCTAAGTTCATTAAGCATTGCATTGAAACATTCTTATCTTCATCGACATCACACATTACATAGTTAGTTACATTGTTATTATAAGTGTTATAAACAATACAATCAATTGGCAGTTGCACATCTTGTTGACAGTAGCGGTGGAACACCTTCAATTAAGGGGGTCACTGCCGACTTTTGGTCCCATTCTTTCCATGCAACGCCCATAGGGCTAATGTTAAAATGCCAAAATCAAAGGGGGGCACGGTGCCCCGCCCCCGGTGCCCTTCCCGTTCCGCCGCCTATGCTTGTTGAAGTATAATGGACGTAGTAGGTGACTAAAAGTGAAGAACTGTGAGCTACTGGGTCCTGTTTGACATAAAAAATGACACCCGTTTAGTGCAAATGAAATTAGCTGCGATCTATGTAGAACAGCATTTTCAGCTGCTATTATGTAGCAGAATGGGACATTTTATGAGTAGCTTAATAAGTTTCGTGCCTCGCGAGCGAACATTAGCCGTAATTTATTCTTGAGAAGAAAACATCGAAACATGTATTTCACCAACAAATCATGATTTCTTTGTAAAAGTGTCTTCAGACAAACCTCACTTCGGGTTTGACATTGTACAATATGTTTCATAGCTCAGGTTGTGATTCATAAATGAAAGGTGCGATCATAACACATGCGTGGGTAAAAAGTACTTATCACGCCCAGTGCCCACATGCTTGCGCCGGCCAGTTTTCATTTCTCATCCACTTGCAGGCATGTTTTCCCGGCTATTGAACAATGACCATACGGCCCAACCGAGCGGGCCATCTCACTCGCAGCGCCGATCGGCTGTTTTTCTCTCGAGCACGTCCGCTAGGAAACCCCGGCGTGGATCCATTCTTTGCACTCGACTGCGTCGAAAGCGACGACCGTCGAGAGCGGCGCAGTTTATATTGTCGGACGCGCGCGCGCGTGCGGCGGGGGCAGGCGTTGGCGCGTTGCAGCCAGCCCTCGAGCCGTTATGAGTCAGCCCTCCGCCGCCGCGCCGCCGCCGTCACCGCCGACCCCCAGCCTGCCGGCACGTGCCGCAGAGGAGGCGACAAGTTAAGGGGTAGAAGTTGATGAGGGGCGGTCTGGATCGATGGTGCTGCGAGCCGCGCTGTCAGGGAGTCGCCAGACGGTGGAAAAACTGCAGGCGGCCAACTAAAAAATAGCCTTTCTCTTGGAGTTTGGAACAACCATCACGTGCTGCAGTTTGCAATAAATATTCGCCAAAATAATTGCACGGAACGACACGCTGACTCCACCACGAAACCATCCAATTCGTAGAAGACATCCATTCAAAAATGGTTGAATAGTTAGAGGATGCTAAGATAAAGAAACATTTATTTCTTAGGTTCCTTAGATTCAAGACAAAACGAATTTTAAAATCTCTCATCGATTCCAATTTGATGACTGTGAACGATGAAAAAGAACTAATCGAGGCACACTCTTGTTCATATCACTTTGATTAAAGCCCGCCATACCGTTTACATGTATGCTGTAGCAAGAGGAGACGCGTTATTGCCGATATATACATATTTGGCTAGCCGCCACCGAGGCACGAATGCCGAAGCGAACTCAAGTGACATACATAAGGCTGCGTAAGCGGTACGATTAGTCATATGTTTTGTATCAATTTGATACCAAATTTTGGTATAATTATCCAGAATCAATAAGATTATATTCAGGTATTTCATATCCAATGAATTTTGTGCTTTGTTGGGTTCTTGCATCTTCAATTATATCCAACAACTCTACGTTTGGTACGGACAGTTTTCCTCAGTTTCCAACTTTGTTGGGCTTTTGGGTTTTTCCCTTCGTTTTGTTTACCTACCTTGTTTTATCTTCGGTTGCCCAATGTTTTGAAATTAATGTCACTATTCAATTGCCAGCAGTATTGTGCAGCTTCTGGATTGAGGAAAACTAAGACATGCGACTTGCAGAAACTAGGAAGCCAAGGCACAGCCTAGTAAGCTACTTTCAAAAAGCGAGATGCTCTTTTCCGTTTAGCTGAGCACCATTTTACTGACTGTTTTAAAGAAAGTGTTAGAATTTTGTGGGTACCTATAAAAAGTTAAAGTTATAAAAGTTATGATAAGTTACAAGAACACCATAATTTTAAACACTTTCGGACCCATACCTACTTTTCGTTCTGGGCTACGATGCATCTTATTTGCACCACTTTTTGGGAGAGGGGGGATTAACGACGGTTCTTTGATTGACGACAGTTCAAAACAACGACAATTCTATTAACGACAGCTAGATGAATCGTGTATGTTCATTAAATTTGTATTGCATCAATGTATTGATAAGAAATAATCGAAACGCGTTTACATTGAATACAGATAAGAAATCGGTATTGTTTTTCATTGAACTGAACATAACGACAGTTCGCTCTTTCTTATGTTGTTCGTGCACAGTAGGGCAATTATTTCACTGAAAATAGGTACTTGTTTGCCTTTAAATCTCACATGAGTTGTTCAGATTGCTTTTATTCTATCTTCTAATCATTATAGGTTCGAATGCCTTCAGCCTTTGGCCTAAGAAGCTAAAAAGTGTTATGTTATAACCTTGTGATGAGAAATTGGACCAGAAATATGATACGTCAGCACAGAGACGCACGTTGCCACCGGCGCTGGACCCACGCTCTGTGGTCAGCTAATCAGGGGCTCGAGCTACGGGCACGTCTGAAAATGTTAAAAGCTTGTTGCATGTTATATCGCTGAAATTCTGTTGGTCTAGGAATAAGGTTGCAGACGCTGAATAGCTCGAATAACAAACGCTGATTTAAAGGTAGTGTGCCACCTTTGAAAGATTTCCCATTTTATTTTTCCTAGGATAAGAAGCTTCTGTTTTTACCTAATATCGCAAAAAAAAAATCAAAAATGGGCCTGGAATAGTGCCTTTTTCGCCTAAAAGTTTTTCGGTTTTTAGATATGTATAACAACTGTACTGGGCTCACTTGCAAACAGGCGTCGGGCAACAATCGCGAATGCGGCGCACTTGTGACAATAAGCAAAGGTCATTATAGTGTTACGACCATACGACGTACGGGAATGAGTTATCAGCTGTCTAATCGTAGACAACACAATGTCGAGCCTTAAACTGTAAGCCCGTATTGGTATTGTTTCTTTTATTTGGCTGTCGAACATTATTTATGGTTTGAAATATGATTTTATGTAAAATAATTGATATGAAAAAGCCGTCTTATAAGTTATGACCCCATTTCACCACACGCAAGTGGCAGAAATGACAATGATCAGCTGACGCATTTTTCTTGGCCGAATTCAGAGCGCGCGGCCCGACGCACCACGCGTATTTGGAAATTCCGACCTCGACGAGCATCAGAAGCCACCTAACAGGCGTGTTCGAAACCGCAGGAGATGATGATGAACGGGTTTATCGAAACTTGATTGGATGAGCATATCGGTAATAGCGATTTCAGTGTGTGCATTTATTGTTCATAGTGGTGTGAAATGTGGTTGGGGTACGACCGACAACCCGTCGGGGCGAATTTCGCACTGGGGTACTCAAAATTTGAAGAATTTAAGACGTTTCCATGAGTTTTGAAGGTATGGATAAGTTCTAAAAATCCGGTTCTCCTTATCTGGGCCATTAACTCCATACGGTCCAAGAAAGCTGGCACACTACCTTTAAGGCCTGGCTACACTATGCGTTTTCTGCGTGCGTTTTTTTGCGGGTTTGCGCTTTTTGCGTAATATTCTTCTAGAAAAAAAGTAAAGAATAATATAACTTTTACATTAGTTATATGAAAAAGTTAATAAAACTCTTATATTAACTAAAATTGAATATGAAAACATCACAAAAACGTAATATCGTTTATTTTTCTAGAACGATATTACGCAAAACCAGCAAACACGCAAAAAACGCACGCAGAAAACGCATAGTGTAGCCAGGCCTTTACTCGCGTTTTTTTTGGGAGCATGAACATTGAAGAAGTAGCAAAGGATTTCTCAATCGGATTTTGATAGACTAGCTGCCTTTGCTCTTGTGACACTGTTTTCTCAGCGAATGTCGACTTTACTCCAGTTATTCACGTTACGCATTCGCATAACTATCATCTTGAAAACGCTGATAAATGAAAAGGAGGATATCGCTATTAAACTTGGACTGGTTTACATACTTATGCACGACATTTAGGGACATACATAGGAGTACATTAGGCAATTTATGTTTATGACTACAACGCACAGCACACATGGGCGTCAATAATTTTGATGCCAGACGTCATGTCGAATTACAAGTGTGAAACGTCCACTATCCTAACTCATCCCAATCTGTAGCCGATTGTGCAGTTCACAGCATCTGAGCATGAAATCACCGATACTGGAAATATCCGTGACCCCAACTGCGGTGGTTGGGGACGAGCAGCGGTGGTATTATCTGTGCCGGTGGCGGCGGTGGTGGGCCCGACATCAGCCAACGCGGCGGCCGGTCCGCGCAGATCCGCACCTCACCGTGCGCGCCCAGGCCCCGCCTACCGTCCCGCCCTCGGCCGCGCTTGAGTTGGAGCCGTTTCCACCACATTTAGTGTCATTTACATGGGTGAGTGCCGAGCGAGAGCTGTGTAATCCAGTGTCGTTATTCGCGAGCAGCAAACGGAGCTGGCTGGCCAGATTTAAGTTGAACTTTGATTGTGCACCGTGCCGTGAAGCGCGATTAGAGCATCTCGCCGCCTCAGCGACCAAGACGCGGACAGAGGTGAGTTCTGGCCGCGGCCTCTGCCGCCCAGATGAGACGACTCGCACGCTTCGATGGCCCGGCAGACACCCGCCTCAGCACGCAGCTGAAACGCGCCGCGCTGAAATGGCCCCGCGGCAGGTCGCGCTCGGTTTCAGAGGGGTCACGGGGTCGGCCGGGTCGGGTCGGGTCGGCCGGTGTCGCGTGCCCTCGGCACAGCCGGCCCGACTCGGCCCGTAGAGTACCGTCAGTTTAGGGTTGGGCGGGATTCCAAGTGCAGCGAGAAAAGGAGCAGTGCAGAGTGCACGTTACAGACCAAAGCCCTGGTGGGCGGTGAAATTAGAAGTGGCAGAAGTGTGGTGTTGTGGTAAGACTGAAAAGTGAATCTCGCTAGATGTGTGAGTACGAGCACGATATGTTTTACTTCCTGCCTAAGAAGTCGCTAAGGAATTGGAATGAATATTTTTTCATAATAATTTTGTCAAAGACAAAAAAAGAAACAAATACAAACGAGCATGTCCCAACTGGCACTAAAGAAACGTGGTTGACGAAAACTATTTGTCTTCTACGTATATCGATTGCATTTTCAACATGCCAACAGAAATCTCATCGGTTATTCTAAAAAAAAGTTGATCAGTGTTCATTTTATTATGGCCATCACATTACTCGTGATAAGATAATGGTCAAATATTGAATCTTGTCGTTATAGCGCGACAGCCTGACATTGTAAATCACAGTGATCCCATGAACTATTGATATAAGTCGATGACAAAGCAACAAAATAAGTCACTAATTGGATAAACTAATATATGAGGAGCTTCAAGCATGCACTTGTGACCGTTCTCATTGTATCTTTGGAAGATAACCTTATCATTTAATTTCTACAATGTCGTGTTAGTCAACAAGGTATGATTAAATCGCAAATCATAAATAAATCGTAACGATCAACTACAACAAATGCTGGGGATGTTTTCCAGCAATACTAAAATCACTCTTTCCCTTTTAGGTATATATGTCAGAATTTTCGCGCCAAAATGTTCACCGTAAATACAACAAATACAACAAAGCTTATTCGAAGTACAATTAGACGGATTCGTCCTTACTTAACCGTTATTTTTTGGTAAACTAAAAAGCATAAATTTGTTGAAAACTGCTGTATGTAAAATTATACCTACTTGATATCAATTGCAATTGCAATAAGTCTTCCCATGAATACCTATGACGCAGATAAAGTTATTTCTAATCATTCCACTAATCATACTTCACTTCTAATCATAACCACCGCGCTGCTCCATTTCCACTGCCATTCTCTCCCGTCCCGCCCGAGGCCGGGGCGGCCGGCTGTTCCGTTGTCGGGCCGCTCGCCGCCCGTACTGGCCGGGTAGCCTCGGGCTCAGTCTGTTCCCCTCCCGCGCGGCACACTCCAGCCGTCGACAGCGTCACCTTTGTGTCCAGACTGAGACACTGAAGGGCCACCACTCGCTGCCGAGAGCGGCGCAATTCAGAACAGAATGGAAATGCCGAACGCGCTGAGAGGGATCGTCGAAAATGGATCAGAAAGGATATAGGTATCGTTTAGAGAGGATCGGTTTTACTTGAAAGGGGAGAGGTTTTTGAATTTTGTGTTTATGGTGGGTGACAAATAGTCAAAGTTCGAGTATTTTCCCATTACTTTTTTTAGACGAAGAGAGCAAAAGAAAAGTTTGAAGACCTAAAACACAATTATGTAGGTATCCTAGCAGAAATATATTGTTTACTTTTAAAACAAGCTTCTAATAACGGATGAAAATATCACTACTGAATAACATAACATATGTTTGCATTGTTGATGGAAACGTTTGAGAAGCTTCTGCATGCATTAAATTCTGTCAGTTCTACTCGTAAGAATCACCCTTTGTGCGGAAATAGCTGAGGTAAACCCCACTACAGTGAAGTGTCCAGTTGTGGTCAGGCAACTGGAATGTTCACACAGTCCCACCACAAAAGAAGTAACTCCACGTCTGTCAAGAAGCCTGTAGCTAGTCAGCTTACATATATGACCTCATCATGAGGGAGGCGTAACGCACCCACCCAATCACCGCGGGGCTTCTGATCCGACTCAGAGGGGACCCCGCTCCGTCCCATTCAGACTCTGACACCGGGTGTCTGGTTAATAGCCGGGTGCCTCCCGCTGGCTGCTAATCATAAAAGGCCAGCCGACGTCTTCCTGGGGACAGAGGACGCGCGACGCACGTTCCCACTTCCGGTGGCGTCCCAATCAGCTTACGGTTATTGGCTGTGGAAGGGCACGGGCGTGTGTGCTGGCCGCGTGGTCGGTGCGGGTTCACTGTGGTGGGTGGAGGGTTAGTGGTGGAACTAGAAGGAAGTCTCTGGAAATGGCGCATACCTTTTATATTCAGCCAGTGGTTTATTTTTATTTGGACGGATAATTTGTAAAGGCATGGCTCCGGCTGACTCAGGTGGGCGCCTCTGACTTTATCTGGCTTAGGTGGACAGCTCTTAGTTTTACTCTTGCCGACTCTGGTTGACTCATGGGAAGACACTTCTGAGTCTGACTCCTGCCGACTCCGGCCGCGACTGACGCCGGTGGGCAGTTATGAGTCTATAGTCAGCTTTGACTTGGTGCCTCAGATCGGGCGGGCGGGCGGATGTGACTCCTGCCGACTCTGACTCGGTGCCTCTGACCGGGCGGGCGGGCGGATGTGACTCCTGCCGACTCTGATTCGGTGCCTCTGACCGGGCGGGCGGGCAGATCTGACTCCTGCCGACTCTGACTCTGTGCCTCTGACCGGGCGGGCGGGAGGCCGTCAGTCGGCTGTCGGAACCCCCGGCCGCGACTGACGCCGGTGATAACGAGAGGGTCGGCCTGTGATTGACAGCTCTGTCCGCCCGCTATCAGACGGACATCGCGGTGACGCTCACACGGGCCGCCGCCGCCCGCCGGGACGCAGAGGACACGGAGAGACCCATGGGGACCCACAAGGACCCACAGAGACCCATTGGGACCCTCAGCCCCACAGAGGAGTCGCTGCGTTCCAGCAGCCACCACCGGACGTCGCAGTGACGGGCCTGATTGAGGCGTCAGTGGCAGGCGGCGGCGGCTGACGGCACCCGGGGCCGACTTTCCCGACCGGCGATACCGCCAGCCGCCGCCGCACGTAGTCGCCGCCGCCGCCGCCGCTCGCCCGTTCGTTCGACCGCCCGCAGCCACGGCGGCCGCGCCACATGTGGGGTGGCTCGTGGGGCTGCCAGACATGCCGGTGGCTGCTTAAAATGGGGGAGCGTGCCGTGAAAGCCGGCCCGTGGAATGCAATAGAATGCAACTATTGACTCGAGAGCCGTTAACGTTCTACCGCACAGTGATTGAATGGCTGCAAGCAACGGTAGAAGAGGTGAAATTATTTTAGAGTCCAGCCAAAAAGTTCAGCGACATGGATTTTGTTGGTCCCCTTCGATATATATAACCAGCTACCACAAGCGACAAACATGTTTATGTTGTCACGTTATTTGTTTGGCTTGTGCCGAGACAGTTTTTCTTCTTTATCTTACTATTCATTCTGTCGTCCACAAAATTGCATGTGACGTTGTTGACAGCAAAAGCTGCGATACATGTATAGATACCGAGTCTGAACAATGAAATTCTTTAAGTGCATCGTTCTAGGGGCACGGTATATAATATACGCTTTGCATGTCTTTCCGGCACATTTTCCTGAATTACTTCAACTAGGCTTGGACCGCAAACATGTATGTGAGTTATATAACTATAACATAAATCGGTAATCTCCAAGCAGAATCTATTGATCAGTTTTGCAACATTTATAGTCCTGCAAAGAGTGCTAGCGGTAGTGCATGCTTCGCGATTCAATGCATTACTTCTATTCATTTTGAGACCAGCACAACTGATGTTATCTGCAATACAGCGGACGTCAGCATCTATTCCACGACAATGCGCAATTACGTGGCCCTTTATCAACAGATGCATTATATGCATCTTGCATATGCTATGCAGTATATGCGTATGGCACATCTAGCATAACAGCAAGATGATGTTTTAGCAGTTCAAATGGTTCTTCCTTAATGTAGTTATGACGGCTTCGGCTGAATCAGCCGGCAGAGAAAGTGCTATATAGAAATTGAATTTTATTTTAAAAAATTTTAAAATCATGCTTTAACTACATCAGTCATCTTTTACTGCAAATTATTAACTGTAGCATAGTCACTGAGTCTGTTCCTTCCAGCTGGAAGTGCGCTGTTGTCATCCCTCTCCATAAGAGAGGTGAGCCCTCGCAGGCATCAAACTTCCGACCTATCACTAATGTACCCGTCATCTGTAAAATCGTAGAGAAGTTAGTACACCAGCAGATCTCCAACTACCTCGAACACTATTGTCTCTTTAGTCCCGATCAACATGGTTTTATGGCACGTCACTCAACTACCACGGCTCTTTTAGCTATGACCGATCACATACTCTCTGGCATGGACCATTCCGAAGTCACCCTTTTAACTCTGATTGACTTAAGCCGTTGCTTTGACGTTGTGGATCACGCCACCTTGCTGACCAGCCTGGAACAGCTCCAGATATCCACGGGCTGGATCAGCAGCTACCTGGCCGGACACACACAGCGGGTACGAGTGGGTGACAGACTTTCTGAGCCCTTGCCCATTAACATCGGCACCTTCCAGGGTTCATGCCTCGGCCCATTGTTGTTCAACATCGTGAGCAACAGCATCGGCTGTTATATTCCATCCAGCGTCAACGGCTTCCGCATCTTGGCCGTTCGCTATGCAGACGACACCCAGGTTGCGATAACTGGCCCTCGTAGCCGGCTTCCAGAACTGAAGCTTGCTCTGGAGAACGTGTTGGACACGCTGTGCACATGGTTTCTCCAGCACGGTATGATGGTCAATGCCAGCAAAACAGAGCTCCTCATGTGCGGTGACCGTCGCCAGCTGGCTCGGATCGACGAGCCTCCTCAGATCGAGTTTATGGGTCAGGTCCTTGCGCTATCGCGAACTGTCAG